TAACATTTGCTTAGCATTCTAGAAACCACGAAGTGCTGCACGATCGATTGTCGTCTAACTCCATTAGCTGAGTGTTCACCACATAATCAACCGTGTTGCAATGACACTTGCTCCTATCATCCCGCCAATCATGTTTGTCTTCCTGGAGATCCTCTGCAGTGCAAAGCTTCGTCATATTGCACGTGTGTCAATTTCTTACTTGTTTCTCTCCTGACTTTGCTAGAGAAATGTTTCAGAGGCCATTCTGGTGAATGTCCGTTTGCACCTGCAATCCCGAATGGTTCTCCATGTATTGAAGACGGTGAGTGCCAAGATGGTGTGTGTCTTCCATACTGTGAGCGCCAAAGCATTGCAAAGAAGAGCTGCATATGTGAAGAAAGTGAGAGATCTATTTAAGCTTTTTTATTCTTGGTTCTTTTTTCTGCTCGTTGTTACTTCTTATCACATATGGAATATCGTAATATTTCTTGCTTTCAGTTCATTTGTCTTGCCGTCGATGTTGTCGAGATGTTAATGGTACCGGCTTGTGTGAGCCAGAAATTGGTGCCGCTGATCTAGTTGATGGTACATGGTGTGTTCAAGGTTACTGCAGAAAGGTAATTTCTGGTTCCTGGAAATTTTATGTGTGTTATGCTTTTTATATATTTTTATTTTTTTAGTCCAAATGTGTAAACGAAGTGGCGGACTACGTAACAAGACATTTGAATGTCCTAAGTGATAGAAGTCGTATATGTCAGTTACTACAATGGTCATTCACTTTTGTTTTCCGATATGAACATTATTTAGGGCCGATCATTCAGTCAAACATTGTTGCCATTATCGTGTTCCTGTCTGTTGCTGTCTGGGTACCCATCGGTTACTGCATTAAAAGAGCTGTAGGTTATCTCTTCATTTGAGATTGCTCTTTTGATGGTGTTAACATCTTCGCAGGATGGAAGGGAAATTTTGTCAACGAGGCGAGCTGGCCGAGTGCGAACAGTTGATGTAGCACGCCAAGTCAGCCATTGACCACTTCTGCAATGCAGACGATACTTTTCAATTTGTCAAATCGAAAAATCTTCTGTTGTATCTTCACCTCATTTGCTATGTTCACTATCTTCGGTTTTCTGTGATTTTTGTGCCGTTCTGATACTTATTCGGGTATGCTTGAAATCTTTGGTCTTCTGCATAGCAGCTGGATCACTTTAATGACATGGTTTTAAGAGTAAGAGCTTGTTAATGTTTGGGTGTACCGTGCCTCCCGCTACTTATCAACTCATTTGCCTCGTTCTTATCGTCATTACTAATCTCGTTAATAGCGTTGATTTTCTGTATTGTTATTTTTCCTATGTTTCTTTTTTGGAATGAAGTTCTGATATTTATATGTAAAGCAAATTCTGAAAGGGTACTGTACGAAAACAAACAGCTTAGTTTCTATTGTTTTAGAGAAACCAAAATCTAAAATTCTGTTACCTATCTTGTAGTTGACTTAAGGTTAATTTCAGCGAATCAACGTAAGAAGCTACTCTTGCATTTGACGAAAATTTCTTTAAAATTTTACATGGTCGAGTTTACGAAAACTGTTGGAAAGAGAATTCGACAGGGTATAGTGGGCTAAGTTTCGGACCATATGAAAGTAGCGAATTAGGAGAATGGAGAGTTGGGCCAACAAACTTTTTTCATGATTCAACAGGCCGTTTGTGTAAAAAGTTGGTTCAGAAATTTTAAATGGAAGCAATTCGCGGCTGCCACGAATATTAACTTTGAAAAGAAGGGGAACTTTAAACAATCTCATTTCCTTTCCATGCATACAGCAAGATTAAATGTAAGCGTGACGTCACTCCCCTGATTCTTACTCCCTCAATTCTGGGCTCGAGATCGCTCCATTTGCAAAATAGTTACAGAAGCTCATGTATTGCGGCTTCACATAACAATAAATTGCATTGAGTTTCGTTGTGTGATCGAACTAAATCATCTCCACTAACTAATACGCGAAATGCATGAGACTCTAAACGTGACTCACTGCAAGAGTGTAGGGTTTCCGTCGGCAAACATGTCAACAACGATGGATAACGTGACACACGGAGAGTTCCAGAGAGCAGCAGATCGATTCAGTCGTCCTAACTCGAGGTGTTCGGATGTTCTGTTACAATTCCTTTAATCACTATCTCAATTTTTGAGTAAACTGTGCTCTTTTACGTTCACTCAAAGTTGCCATCGTTTCAAAAAAATTAGCACATTTTAGGCGAAAATGGCGAGGAATGGAACGGTGACGTTGGCGGGAGGTTCATCCATATCGGGTTCGTATTTGTTACATTTTAGTATTAGTCGTCCATCACTCATAGTAAACATTGTAATCACATTCATCTTTTAGAGTTTGTCGTCATTTTTCTTATGTTTATAAGCTTATGCAACTATCTTATCAACGTTCTATGAAACATTAATATGCATTACTGTCTCTTTTTGCTACACCTCCTACTTTTAGTCCATATCTCTATGCAAACAATTATTCCTAATCGCTTTCGTTACATTTACATATTGTAGGCGGTTGACGCCTTAACGCTAGGGGGAACTTTTTTCAGAAATTTTGTACGTACAGCAGCTAGCAGATCACGGAATTAATGATATTGGTACAAACACAATAAGCTTCTTTTCACGCTGTTAAGTAAAGATGTGCAAATATCATTAGTTTGGCGCGCTCGAAAGTTATTGTTTAAATCTACAGCAGATTTATAATCCCTGCCGCCAGGTGCTTGTGAAGGGTGTATGTCGAGTAGCGCGATTTTAGGTTATCACTAAGGACATCTGCAGAGGGGTTCTATGTTATACGGAGTTTTCAAATTGTGTATTATCTTCCACAATAAAGAGTGTACAAGCTGACAACATTGATTCAGAACTATGACAGGAAGGGCCATTTAGGGATATGAAGCTGCAAGTCAGGAAATTCTTAAGAATTGAGCTGAGAAAGTTTTGGTCCGTTGCTTTAACAATATTCACTCAAAAGCTTTCCTGTTGCTCATATACTTCATCTAACTGATGTATTGTCGAAACTCCTTTCTTGTTCTTTTTTGAAAAGCTCAAATACTTATGAAAATAGCTTTTTATCGTGTTTAGTATATATTAAAAGTGACAGCCGGGAAAAATCGCCCCACTGGACCGCCTCCCCTTGTGAATGTCGAGGAAATGGGGATAAACTATAGTGCATACTAATTGATGCTATCCTAAGTGAAAAGTAATCAATTCACATTGACTAAATAAAATGCATTAGATTGGTGTTGGGAGCATAACTAAATATTATTTGAAATCCAGCCTCAGAACATCGTGGTTCCTCGAACAGTATGCTTAACTAAGGATTGTAATACAAATGATGGTGCCATCTTGCATTCGTAGTTACTGTAGGCTATATGTTTTCAGTCCCTGATTTGTGGTGTGTTTTGCGTTAAATACGACCCCGAACCGTTCCAATCATTAATGTTTTACAATGTTGCTTTTCAAATATAAGGCGCGCTAGGTAGGTTAGTCGATGCTTTTTTGGCGATCAAGCTATCGGCACCAGATTGAAACTTGATTTAGTCGATATTATGCATTTGATATGAATTAGCGAAAAATCTCATGTATTGCGTATATCGTTTTTTTTTGAATTAGCGTACATTCGGTGAGCATACGTAGCCTTTAAAAGTTTGAATTATCAGAAAATGCCTGTGTGTTGGTAGGTGAAATTCAGGTATTTACTATTTGTATATTTGCTCACATTTCATTAAATACATTCTTCAACTTTTTTTTATTCCTTTCTATTTAAAAATAATGAGAAATCAGCAAAGAAGACGGGTGATGATTTTTACTCGTTTTTTTGTAGGTGCAATTCGTATCGGGGATGCTTTTTGGTGAGTTATCATAATGGTGATATCTGCAGCAAACAATTTTTTAATTGTACAACAAAATATCTCTGTTGACGAGTTCTCCTTTCGATTTCTCGTGATCTAGAGTGTCGAGTAGGCAATCAAACAAGCAGACGCGTTACCTGCTTGAAATACGAAAATAGAGAGATGCTCCGGTTGAAAATGACAACCACTACATATTAGGTTGACCAAAAACTTGTTTAAGGAGTTCGAGCTTTTTTGGTTCTTGAGATCGAGGATGATTAGCAATAGCAATTTTCAACTTTTATTGCTAGCTTCATGCCTCATTGCCTAGGATGGGTATGGACATCTCCACAAAATATAGTGTTCAATTGTATTTGAGTTTTCTTAGTTTTAGCTCCCAGGTGTTTAGCATCCTCCAGGATATCATGTAATTATGAACTGTATTTCTATGAAACTATTTTTGCACAATTTTGACAGAATTCTGCATATCTCAAATGTATATTTTACTAATTGATAAAAGAAGTTGTGAGGGTGAAGTCCTTGTGTAAAATATGTTGGCAGCATTTTTTAGCACAGGTTAACAGGTTTTTTTGATAGTACTTCCCTAAATTAGCCTAAAATTGCAGCTCTCTTCCACGATGAAAATCACTCAAAAAGCTAAAATCTTCTTACCCATGATATCGAAAAAGGCTGAGTATGAGCTCTGTAAAGGCAGTGTAGTGGTTGTATGAAAATGCGAAATGCATAGAATTAGGTAATCACATGTTTTGTCGTTGATGATATCACATTTTTTTTTAAAAATAGATATCTTTCAGCTTCGTCTCTTTTAAAACATATAGGAAGTAGAAATATTCTTTGCTATTTACGTTGAAGCTTCGTTGCCTTTGTTTCTGCTGATGATGCGTTAAAACTTTCAACATCTATCAGCGCGGCTAAGCATCTAAAAGACCCAACAACGTTTGATGATATTTATTTGAAAATCATTCTGAATTTTTCTTCAACACCCATTACGATTGTTGAATCTGAAAATTCACTACCATTCATAGATTGAATTAAAGTCTCAAAAGCCAAGTTGTTTTGGAACATATCAATGTGGTAGAAGGTAGAGTTTTTTCTATTTACATATCTATATGTACTTCTCATGTGAATTAATTTCAGAAAGCCGTGTGTTAAGCAATCGTTGTGGGATTTAAGTGGACAAAACTTTTGGTACAAATTCAATTCTGTGATAGTTAAATTTCAGAGAAAAAGTTAAGAGGTAATAGTATGCTGTTGGTGCTAAACAAGTCTCTGCATCGAAATCAGTTTGAACAGCATCAAATTTCTGCTTTGGTTTTGCTTGGAAATAGGATTTTGAGTTAATAATTCGAAAGACTTAAAATTTGTCTCCTATTAAATAGCATTGTTATTAATTCACTGCTTGGGTAAGATGAACTATATTATCATCCATTTATTTTGAGAAAAAACTTACATGTAATCCATTTAGCATAAGTCAAACGAAATCCTTTTATCTGCCAGAAATAAGTTTGACGCTCTAGAGCTAAATTTCTGGGGTTCCTTGGGAAGTATTGCATTGGGGATTTTTTCCGGATTTGAATAGCAAAGTTAGGCACTAGAGTCGGCCACTCTTTTTTGTGCTACGAACTTCAAAAATTTAGAGATCACATATCTTGATGAATTTTAAGATTTTTTGACTTCCTTAATTCACATACTTTCTGAAACAATGTTGATTTCACGTAAATTTTGTAAAAAATGTGTGTGTTCCTTATATTTTTCTTTTGCAGGCGTTTTTGTAAGCTGTTACAATTCCCTCGAAAGT